CAAAGCCCTGGCTGCCAGCATGCAGATGGGCTCCAGGGGGAGACTGGGTGTGAGAAGATAGTGCAGGATTACTGGCATAAAGTAAGCAAATTGGACCAGAGATGTGGCAACGGGCATGAGGGAGGAGGAGAAATCATGTGAAAAAGGACTTGGCAGCTCATCATCTGTAGAGTGAGAAACCAGGAGCGGAGAATGCTCCAAGCTTTTCATCTTAGGTGACAGTGTGGTTCCTGTCTTGTTGCCCGAGGTGGGTGTCTGGGTGACTGGGCATGCCCGCCCAAGGCCTGCCTGGCAAAGACTGAAACATGAGAAAGGGAGGATTCGCCCAACTTCTCTCTTTCCCCAAGAACCAGTACAGTGTATCAGTTGAAGGGCCAACTCGGATGTCACGCTACCTGCTTCCCATCACTTAGGAGCTGAGAACCCTGAGGAAACTTCTATTCATCATTTATGAAATGGGAATTTGTGAAATGCCTAGCTCATAGGGTGGTTGTGTCAAGGGCTACATGTAGCACCTGGCACATAAGAGCCATCGGATGTAATAGATAAGGAGAGAGACCAGGGTTCATCCACTCGCTGCAGGGCCTTAGGTTAGTCCAGTTACTGAACCTCGGCTTACTCAGCTGTACGATGGGGGAATACCTGCTCATGGGACGCTAAGAGAATTAGATTAGGAAAATACACCAAGAGCTAATGTGGAGCTTTGGTATTTGGTGGAAGAGCCCTGCTTAACTAGGGAGCAGGAAGTCCCCATCCTCCTCCCCAGCCTCCTGTGCATCTCAGGCCGGCCGGGGACTCAGACTCCGGCAGGCAGATGCACACACTCCCAGGCTTTGCGTGAGGGGGGGGAGGGGAACCGAAGCGAGTAAAGAGGAAAGGGGTGGGTTCAGGTGACAGTGAGGAGCAAGTGGTGACGGTGCCAGCCCCGATCCAGTGTCCAGGCCCGAGGACTCAGTCCTGTGAGCTCTGGCCTCTGGAATCGAACAGTGCAGCAGGGTTTTTGTTTTGGTTTTTACTGAGCTGGTTCTGTGGCAGGCTTTCTGTTGTCCTCTCACTGCGAGGCCCCATTTTGTTCCTGTCTATTTGCTCCGTCTGATTATCTAATCTTTCTGAGAATTCTGTAGACGACCTAATAGCCTCCAATTTCTTTCTGCTTTAATCTGCCGGAGTCATTTTCTGTGATCATAACTAGGAGTCCTGACTACACAAGTGGCATGGGGTGGGATTGCCCTATCGGTTCCTTCCCTCGTTGGCTCCTTACTCTCCATGTCTGTCTACTCACCCGAGTCTTGTTCGAACTACGTGATGCCCTGATCAGTGGGAGGAAACCATGGAGTCACTCCACTGCATGGCCATTTGATCCACTGTTTCCCATGAGAGATCCTTCCACAGGACAGCAACCCTGGGGTGGAGGGGTGAGTAGCAGGGCAATTTTTAAAATTGCCCTCAATTTTAAAAACAAAAGTTTTGAGGGCAAACGTAGACTCGTTCAGCAAACCCCAAGACATGATGTTGGGGAACATCTGTGAGTGCTTAGGCGCAGAATTCAGGGGACTGAGAAACAGAAGTACTCATTTACATGGGAACGGTCTTTTTGATTTCTTAAACTGATGGACCTAATTAAGTACCCAGAAGAGGCAGAGTATAATAAAATATATAGGTTCGGGAAAGGTTTGAGTATTGATGGGCAAGGAAAGCATGTCAGACGGTGAAGAAGACCCTGAGGAGTTTTAAGAAGTACATCCTCAGCATTCTTGGATGAAAATTGCCACTGGCTGCAGCTGCAAAACACCCCATGTATGACTTGGAGGTAGAATATTGGGCCGGCTGGGTTACTGAGAGACCACAGAACTCACTTAGTTCACAACTCCCACCACAATCCAATGTAGGGATCCCCCTCGCCCCCCCTCCCCCCACATACACACAGCAGTCTAAGCAGATAGTTATCAGTCATTGGCCATTCAGCCTCTGCTTAAAGTCCTTCAGTGATGAAGCAAATGGTTGGCCTAGTAGAATGATGTATTTGCATTGGTTGTTTTTGTCCCTAGGATTCATTCTTCTTTCTTATGGACCTCTCCCATTCTCTCTCTCTCTCTCTCTCTCTTTCTCTCTCTCTCTTGTCCATTGCATGAGGTCTTAGAAGGACTGTCACGGAGGATGTCCTGCCTTCCCTTGGCCAAGTTAGGCTCATCCAACTCTCAGTCCATGACCTTTAGATCTTGGGTGTAGTAGTGCCAAGACCTTTAAAAGGAAGGGGGTGTGATTTATTCCAATAGTGTCATCTTGCTGAGCTCTTTCTTCCATTTAGGATCCCAGACATCTCCTGCTTCTTTCATTTTTTCCAAGCCTGCTTCCTCCCCAGCCTTATCTCTCTGAGACTCCCCCAAATCTCCAATAATTTTTTTCTGCTTATGGTAAGTGGAGTCTGATTGCAACCGAAAACCCCCACTGATTTATGACATTAGTAACAATCCCGAGTTATTAGAAAGTCCTGACACACAGCAAACTCAACTCTTCTTTCATGTAACTTCTATTCCTTTTCTGTTTTCTGGAGCAACTGATTTCTGGAGCAACTTGGAGCCAATGTTCTCCATATGATGGACATTCAAACATTTGAGAACAATATCCCTTCTCTTAGTCATTTATTTTCTGGGATAAATAGCTGTGACATCTCAACAGTTACTTGTAGAACATAATTTCCAAATCAGTCAACGTCATGGGTTCTCTGAACAATGAAAATATGTTCCCCAGAGCTCTGGCAGTCTGGCTCAGTTGGTTGAATGTTTTCCCGCACCCTGAAGGGTCACCAGTTAGATTTCTGGTCAGGGCACATACCCGGGTTTTATGTTCGATCCCGGAGGGTGCATGCTGGTGGTGGCTGATCAATGTTTCTCTCTCATCAACGTTTTTCTCTCTCTCTACAATAAAAAAACACATTTTTAAAAATGTGTTCCCCAGGGGAAAACAAAGAGTATAATGGGCTCATTTTTCTCAATTTACTCCTTAATTACATAAATAGCCATACTTTTTTTTAGCAGGAACATTACATTGTTGGATTATATTAGATGTATTGTCAACTAAAACTAATTTAAAATGCATTGCCTCTTCATCATATAAGCAACACTATCTTTGTAAATTAGAAATACAAATAAATAACAGATTTTTTAAAAACTCTCATAACCCATCACCCAGTGATAATCACTAAAACATATTTTTGTAAAACCTTCCAAACTATTTTCTATGCTTATTTATATTGTCTTTCCTGTTGGTTATATAATATTCCAATTTATGTTTTATATTTAAACTATTCCCTGGATAGATCCTTTACAGTTTTGTTTTTGCTAATATAAACAATGTTTTGATAAATATTCTTATATACCCATTTTTGTACTATATTTCTCTTTTTTCCAGATTTATTGAAATATAATGACATATAACATTGTGTAAGTTTAAGGTGTACAGCTCATTGATTTGGTAAATTTATATATTCCAAAATGATTACCACCATAACATTAGCTAACACCTCCATCCCATCACATACTAGTAATTACCACTTCTTTTTTACGGTGTGGACATTTAAGGCCTACTCTCTTAGCATCTTTCAGGAATGTAACACAGTATCGCTAGCTATAATCATGGTGCTATGCATTAGATTCACAGAATGTGTTAATCTTATAACTATAATCTTATATTGTACCTTTGTCCAATATCTCCCCCTTTTCACCACCCCCCGGGCCCTGGTAAACAACACTCTACTCTGTTTTCCTGAGTTTGGCTTTTTAAGATTCCACATATAAGTGAGATGATACAGTTTTTGTCTTTCACTGTCTGACTTATTTTACTTAATATATATGATGTTTTTTTTTAATTGATTTTAAAGAGTGAGGAAGGGAGAGGGAGTGAGAGAAACATCATTGTGAGAAAGAAACATTGATTGGTTGCCTTGTGTATGCACCCCAATCGGGGATTGAACCCAAAACCTAAGTATGTGTCCTGACCAGGAATTGAACCTGAGACCTTTCAGTGTTTGGGACAATGCCCAACCAACTGAGCCACACAGGACAGGGCTATGATGATTTAATAATGTCTAGATATGTTTTCTTGTGACGCTTTTCATTATCTATCCCCAAATTACCCTCCAGAAACCAATTTACACTCCCAATGGCAGATTATAAAAGGGTTTAAGGCACTTGAAGTTCTCACATGAGAGCCTGCCTAGCCAGGTGTCTCCATCCTACAGTAGAATAATTGATTTTTAGCTATACTTCCTCAATTTTATTTAATTGGCTCTAGTGTCTGTTTTCCACCTCTTGAGATTATTACATGAGAGACTCTGTCTTGACTCTTGAGAGTCAAGTACGAGCTTGAGTCTGAGATGCGGTCGAGTATGGAATTACTCGTTCATTCTGGTTTTGCATCACTGCAAATCTGACTCATGTCCCGGCTATGTTTTCATTCAAATTACAGATAACATTGTTGAGAATGGAGCCAAGAGCTGGGCCCATGGCCATGACGAGGCGTGTTCAGCCTGAGAGGCAGGTAGTCATCTACACACCCACCTAACAGCTCTGGTGCAGGTTACCTGCTCAAGGACCCACCCACAATCTAGCAACTAATGAGGTGGTGGCTGGCACTGAGGATGGAACTCCCACACTAGTCGGTGTCCTTTCTGGCTGGTCAATATTTAGGGTGTGTCAGTGAGAAGAATTATCAATATTATCCTTGTATCCACGAGCCCACTGCCAAGATGAAATAGATGTTAGCAGTTTTCCATATTTGTCTCAGATATCTTTTGATTTTTTTTGCAATAAGATGTCTCAAATATAGTTAAGTCCCACTCCCATACCCCTCCCACCCTGATAAGAAAGAGTATGTAATTCCTTTGCATTTTTGTACTCTTAGCACACTTATATATATTCATAAACAATGCACATTACTGACTTTTATTTGAAATGTTTACATAAGTAGCATTACATATATGCATCTTCCAAAGACTCCTCAATACTGTTTTTTGTAGTGGATCCATATTGATATATATAGATATAATTTATTCATTTTAACGGCTTTATAACCTCCCATTTACAAACAAAAGAGTCCTGGCTGAAGGACAATTAGACTATTTCCACAAAGATCATTGCGAAGAATGTCCTTGAGCACAGTCCCTGGTGCCCATCGAGAGTCCCTCCAAGGCAGTCAGGTAGCGGAGCTGCTTCGCCACAGGGTCTGAGCGTCTTCAACTTCAGGGAACCAACTGCTCTACAAGGCAGCTAGTTTCCGTGTGTCTCCCTCCAGCACCGTGTGAACTCCTTTTCCCCACATCCTCACCGGCTTTTGGGATTGTCACGCTGACGAACAGTTGCCAAACCTTGGGGTATAAAATGGTCCCTCAATATTTAAACTTATATTTCCCTGGATATTAATGACACTGGGCATCTTTTCCTAAGTTCATTGGTTATTTTGAGTTTCTTCCTCTATGAGTTGTGTATTCATATCTGTGGTAGCCAGCTTCCCAGACAGCACCCAGTAATCTCTGCATCCTGCTGTTTGTACCTGGTGGCGTCCCCTCCCACACTGTACAGGGGAAGGGAGAGGGGTCTCTGAGGCTGATGGAATAGGCGGAAGAAATGATATGTCACTTCTGAGATTAGGTAATCAAAGACAATGCAGCTTCTAGCTTGATTTTTCTCTTTCTCCTGGATCACTTGGCCTGGGGAAAACCAACTGGATGCTGTGAGCAGCCCTACAGGAAGCCCACGTGGCCAGAAACCGGGGCCTCCTGCCGACAGCCAGCAAGAAATAGAGGCCTCCGGAAAACAGCCACATCTGGAAGTGAATACAGATGAGTGCAGCCTCGGGGACATCTTGAGTGCGAGGACTACCCTGATAGCAAGCTACTGAATTCCTGACTCTAAAGATAATAAATGTTTGCTGTTTTAAACTTCTAAGTTTGGGGTAATTTGTATGCAGCAACCGATAACTAAAAAATGTTTGGGGGACATTTTTCTATTGGTTGTTTTTCTCTTTCTTATTAACTTACAGAAAATTTTTAAATATTCTAGACAATACTCTCCTGTTAGTTATACGAATACAAATGTCTTCTCCCAAACTTTGGCTTGTCTTTTTGCTTTATTTATGGTGCTTTTTTTGATAACAAAGGTTTAACATTTAATATAATTAAATTCACCATTTTTTTTCTATTACAGTTTATGCCCTTTGTATTTGATTTTTAAAAATCTTCACTGCCTCCATGATAAAAAGATAGTCTTCTACGTCTTTATCTAAATTATTTAAATATTATATTTGTACGTTTAAAGTTACTTAGTCAGAATGGAAACAGTGGTTGAATTGGCCAGAACCTCTTTCTCTTTCCTAATACTTTTGTTTGTGATTTATTTTTAAACAATTTGTTGTGCGTTTTTCATTTTGAAGATTGGCTCTTGGTTCTGACAAAGACCAGAGCAAAATATTTATCAAGTAACACTGCTGTCCACGTGGTCACCTTTTGATGCAGTAACCTTATCCCTGCGTCTCCGATTGCTCCAAACATTGGATAGGCTGTAGGCACCAGTCCTACCTTTTAGTGGGTCAGCATTTGGACCCTTTCTCTATGTCTTGAGAACGCCTCACCCCATAAGTCTTGGTACAAAGCAGAGTTGACATGGCTGACACCTGTTTCCCAGCTCTCCTGCCACAAGGATGTGGACACACATCACCTAGGATCTGCCAACCAGATGCATTCCTCTTGGGCCCTGAATGCAAAGCCTCGCCCGCGATGCTGGAGCAGTGCTTTTCAAACCTTAATGCCCTTAATAATCACCTTGGAGTCTTGTGGAAATGTGAATGGCTGACGCTGTAGGTCTGAGGTGAGGTGTGAGTATTTGTAACACCTTCCAGGCAATGCTGAGGCTGCTGATTCCGGACCACACTTTGAGGAGAGCAACCACTCAGGTGATGATCGTGGTCGCCAGGGGTGAGCTGTGGTTGCTGGGGCTGCAGAGGTGGCGCTGGGCCGGTGTCCGCAGGGGAGGCCGGGCAGTTCTGTGAAGGGGTTGGAGCATTGTTTCTCACTGGGGAGCTGCTGCCATTGGTCATCCAGCCCAATGACCGTTCTGTGAGCTACCCTGTAGCTTCAATCAGCCAGAGTTAGTTGCTGTTGCTTGCAGGCTAATCAAGGACCCATTCCTTGCCTTTTAAAACTTCCTTTGAGCCCTAAACCATTTTAGCGCTAGCCTTCCTGACATTACTCTTCTAGATTTGCACTTTTGTATTACATCCCTGGGATGTATGCCACGTAATTCATCTTTGGTATAAGTCTGTTAAAAATTATGGCTCTTTCTTATTTCAAGAATAATATATGCTTATTATAAACATATCTGGAAAATACAAAGAAGCAAATTCACCATCATCTTTAATCCTACCACCACAATCATATGAATGTTTTGCTATATTACTTTCAGTTCTTCTCTACATTCACACTTTTTATGTATTTGAGATTATACTGCACATACTGTTTTGAAACCATTTTTTTCATTTCAACAATATAAACATTTCTCCCTCAAAAAGTATTGCACAATATGATTTGTAATAAGGACACAGCATTCCAGCATCTGATGTGCTGTAATTTATTCAAATAACCCCTGCTATTTGACACGTAGGTTGATTCAAATTGTTTGCTATTGTAAATTACACTGCCAACTTCTGATTCAAAATGGCACATGGTGAGCAATCCCAACTATAGCCTCTTCAAATTCTCAAAAATGCATTCATCCAACAAATATTTCTTGTGTGTCTACCATTTGTCATACATTGTTCTAGCTGCTAAGGATAAAGGGATGAACAAATTAGACCAAAACCCCTACCTTCATTACATTTCAGTGGGGTGAATAATAATAAAACTACGTGTCTCTAACACACACGTGAAAGGGCGAGTCATCGCGGGGCCTACGTGGGCCGGGCGCGGTGGTGCACGCCTGTAGTCCCAGCTACTCGGGAGGCTGAGGCTGGAGGATCGCTTGAGCCCAGGAGTTCTGGGCTGTAGTGCGCTATGCTGATCGGGTGTCCGCACTAAGTTCAGCATCAATATGGTGACCTCCCAGGAGCAGGGGCCACCAGGTTGCCTAAGGAGGAGATTGCCGGGGATGAGACGGAGGACATGGACTTCCTGTCTGGGCTGGAACTGGCCAATCTGCTGGACCCCCGGCAACCAGACTGGACCCTGGAGCCTGGGCTCAGCTCACCCTGGGGAGGGGGGCTAGGACTGTGCCCTCCATCTTGCCCTGGGTCCTCCATTTTTGGACAGAGCCATGTTCTCGGCAGGGCTTCTTCCCGGAAGAAGCCTCTGCTAGCCACACCCAAGATTTCTCTGGACTAGCCAATGATAATCAAGGGAAGTGCACGCCATCACTACGACCACATCCTGTGTAATGAGACACCGACTCGCGCCTGGCCAATCGGCGGGGCCCACAGTCCCCTCTCCTGCCCTTACTCCACCCCCCTATAAAACCCACAGTCCCATCAGGCCTCGCGCTCTCTGACACTGGGCTTACCGTTGCATCGGTGAGTGTGGTCGGGGAGCCGAACTAGTTTGAAATGAAGGACTCTTTGCTTTTGCATCGGACTCACTGGCTCCCTGGTGGGCTCTTGGGAATCTTGAAATCTGGGCATAACACACACAAGCATACAGTATACGAATAACATACCAATAATGAAATAATAATGATGGCAGCTACCACTTATTAAATACTTGCCATCTGTCTAGCATTATGCTGAGCCCTTTCTGTGTAATTAATCCTCAGCCATTATCATCCCCATTTTTTGGAAAAGGCCGCTGATGCTTTAATGTTCTCCTGCCCCAGCGGTTAATTCAGGCGGACTTTGTATTGAATGGGTTCAATCTGACCCCTCCCCAAAGCCTATGCAGGGAGCGAGAGGAAGATGCCACTCCCAGAGCAGTGAAATCGCAAGTGAAAATGGGTTTTAATCAAGGAAGTGGACCAGGGCCTGTGCTTATGCAGCCTCAGTTCCGCTGTAGACAAGGAAGGAAATAGAATTCTGCCCCTATGAGATGGCAGGCAATTTGCCTTTTACCTCAACAAGCATCAGACCATGTTTTGTTCAAGAGCAAATTAAGAGAACAAAACTGGCATGAAATCTACAAAAAAATACAGAAGGGAGGAAAAAATAGATGCCTGATTAGAGGACTTAGAGAAAGAGCAAACCATGGATAAGCATCCATTGCTGGGTATGTAGGATGATGTCAGGAAATTTTTTCATGTATACAGGGTACAAGAACATGGGGCCTTTCTGAAATATAAAATCATAAGGAGAAAACAGACTCAGGAGAAAAAGCAACAGCTGAGATGAATAAAGGCGGCTTTAAAAGGGTGATAAAGGAGGAGCGGAGGGAGACTAACAGCAAAAGCAGATTAAAATTCACAACTCCCTTCACAAACAGGAGAACCGATGTTACACAACAAATTGAATCAGACAATACCATATATCGCTGAAGATCTGAAGCAATAAGCATCTGGAACGCTTGCACATTCCTTATGGGGAACAATTCAACAACATCCAGTACAATTAAAGACCCACAAAGCCACTCCCACTCCACATACTCTAGGACAATGACTGCAAATGTTGTTGAACATTAGAATGACCTACTTTCTAAAGCCCAGACACCCAAGTCAGACCCTGTACCAATTAAATCAGAATGTCTCAGGGGCGGGACCCACCCATCAATAGTTTTTAAAGATCCCTGCGTGACTCCAATGTGCAGCCAAGTTTGGGAACGACGTAGAGACATCGCTGTGTGTGTGCCCTGTGTGGGTGACATCCACTAGAAGGTACACAGCACATTGTGTGTAATTTGGAGAACCCAGAAATTTCCATTGTCCAAAGGCAGAATGCAATGTGGTGCATTAACACAAGGAAATACTACAGCACAATGAAAATGCATTGCAACCACACCCATCAATATGAATGAATTTCACAAGCATCATGTTGGGGAGGGAGGAGGAGAAATCCACAGGAGCGATGCCACTCGATTGCATTCACATACGGGGAAATTGCATAACTAGACAAAGGCATCGTATAAGAACACGTCGTTTGTTGTAAGACTACCAAGAAATGCAGGGAATGGAAAGCACAACCTTCAGGATAGTGGTTAACAGGGAGGAGGAGGTAGCCTAGATATTGGTGTTGCTTGACTTCCTAAACTAGTGGTGGTTGTTTATATCTTACCCATATGTTATTAATGTTTTTCGTATGCTTTAATTATGTAATTAAATATTTTTAAAAAAATTAAATAAAAAAGTAGAGATTGCCCTGCCCGGTGTGGCTCAGTTGTTTGGGCGTCATCCGTGCACCAGGAGGTTGCCGGCCAAGGGCACATGCCCAGGTTTGGGGCTTGATCCCTGTGGAGAGCATGCAGGAGGCAGCTGATCCATGTTCTGCTCTCACATCGATGATGTTTCTCTCTCTCCCTCTCCTTTCCCCTCTCTCGAAAAATCAATGAACTAGTCGTTAAAAAGAAATAATAATCAAGTGAAGATTTAGGTGTATGAGCCAATCTGAAAAATTCATCCAAAATTCAGAGAAAAAGAACAAGGAACAAAAAAAGAAGAGGGGCCGGGGCCGGTTTGGCTCAGTGGATAGAGCGTCGGCCTGCGGACTGAAGGGTCCCGGGTTCGATTCCGGTCAAGGGCATGTGCCTGGGTGGTGGGCACATCCCCAGTGGGAGATGTGCAGGAGGCAGCTGGTCGGTGTTTCTCTCTCATCGATGTTCCTAGCTTTCTGTCTCTCTCCCTTCCTCTCTGTGAAAAATAAAAAAAAAATAATTTAAAAAAAAAAAAAAAAGAAAAAGAAGAGGGAAAAATGAAGCTATGGAGGATGCTGAAAGGCCATAATTTTCTGATTATAATGCATAAAAAATAGAAACAATTTTTAAATCCCGCTGCTTAAATATTAATTTATGTAATCTTAGGAGAGGATAAGAACTTCTGGAATCAGAAACCATAAAGAAAAAGATTTCTAAATCAAAAATAAAGACAAATCTAAAACAACATCAAGGTTATTGGGTAATGTGTTGGATTAAATTCATTGCAGCTAATTCTTTGTGCATGGTCTTGAATATTTCCCTAAGTAAATTCTTGGAAGTAGAATTGCTGACACATAATAGATGTTCAAAAATAACTGTTAAAAGCATGAGTGAGCAGAGAAAGTTCTGGAAAAGTAAACATTCAGAGATTTTTTTATAAAACAGTAATGTCACAGCTTACTTTTGAATGGTGGACATAAGATGATTTTTATCTCCTTTTCACTTGTCTGTGTTTTTCCTTTTCTGTAATTAATACATGTTACTTGTGTAATAAAGACAAAATGTAATTTTATAAGTAGGTGTATGGACAGCAATTGCAGCAAAGATACTTCCTGGGTCTTGCCTGAGAATTTTCATGCATGGTGAAAATGGCTTGGCTAAATTCTAAAAGATTAAGTTGAAAGAGAACTTGATTCCCAGCCAGAGCCCCACAATCCAGGAGCCTCATCACGACAGCCAGCCTCCATCCACCCCTGGGATCCTTGCCTCCTGGGATTCTTATCCCACATTTCAGAACAGTTGGTCTGTGACACCAACATAATATGACAGAAGAGGGGGTATGTCGCTTCTGAGATTAGGTTATCAGAGACACTTCCATCTTGATCGTTCTTCATTTTTGGATCAGTTGCTCTGGGGAGAGCCAGCTGCCAGGTTGTGGGCCCTATGAAGAGGCCCAGGTAGCAAGGAACGAAAGCCTCTTGCCAACAGGCACGTGGGTGCACCATCCTGGACGTAGCGCCTCCAGCCCGTCGGATCTTCGGATGATGCAGCCCAGCTGAGATCCCGACTGAAACCATGTGAGACCTGGAGCCAGAACCTCCCAGTGAGGCCACACCTTGATTCTGACCCTCAGAAACTGGGTGAGAGAGTAACAGTTTGTTTCAAGCTGCTAAGTTCTGGGGTAACTGGATCTGCTGCAATAGGTAACTCATACACTTTTCTAAACTGGGTTATGGCTTTTAGCATGAGGAAGAGGTAAGGAAAGGGCAGGGGGACAAAGGGGAACAAGAGGACATCTCTGAGAGGGAGCAGAGCTCCTTATGAAGTGAGTATGTCTTTAACCATCCCCCCTTTCCATGCAATATGGACCTCCTGATTGGTCTCCCCAAGTGGGAGATTCCAAGGAAATACCTGTCAGGTAGAAAAGTGACTCCAGAACCTGGGGTATGTACCCCCTTCCTTCCTGGAGTTCCTGGCAGTTGGCAAGCCATGGGGGGGGGGGGGGGGCAACAGGTACTGTTGTGAACTGTTGTGAAGTGGCACACCTGGGCACAGAGTGGGTGGTGGCTCGTCCCTGGGATTTCATAGGAGGAGGCCCAGGAAAGTCCCATCATCCGGGGTAAAGGCAGGCTGACCCAGGAAAGCCATCCCAGTTCACCGTGCGTCCTGCTGGGGGTGGAGTGGCTGAGGCTCTGAGAGCTTGACCACCTGCCTCTGGGGGTCCCACCCAGCCTAGGACCTTGGACAGAGGCAGGCACGCTGCCTGGGCCATCACCTCTATACCAAGTATGGCATCGCAGCCAAATCCGACCTAGGGCTCCACATAGGTGGGTCCAGCCAAGTGCGTGGCTATCGCAGGACACTGAGAGCTGGTCAAATAGGGCAGGGGGCCTCCTTCTCCTCCTCCCACAGGGGAGGGACTCTCGGAGCAAGCAGGGAGCTGCAAGCAGGAAGGGAGGGGCATCAATAGACAGTGGGTCTTCTCCTTTTCAAGCCCAGGGCTGGGGCTTCTGAACCAGACTCTGGCAGAAAATAACAATGTCTGAATGGGATGGAATGTTTCCTCGAAATGAAACTATTTTAACCTGGAAATGGCTGGACACAGATTATATTTATACGTTTGCGCTACCTTCAGTTTTTCCACTGCTGAGCATAAATGGGGAGATGGGTGGAGAAAAGGAAGGAAGTTATAAAACTAAAGTAGAGCCGCTCTGGGCACATGGCTGAGTGGGGTCTGTGCAATGGAGCAACGAGGCCTGAGGCCCGTATTCTCCTTCCTCTTGAAGGTTAAGCTGGCGGTCTCCCATGCAGGCACCTTGCACTACTTCAAGACCTCCCACATTGTAAATGCAGGTTTTTAAAAAAAGGTCCATTTTATTTTAATGAATTCCATGATTTTTAAATCCTCACTCAAGGATATGTTTATTGTTTTGAGAGACGGGGGGGGGGGGGGGGGGGAGAAGAGAGAGAGAAAGAGAGAGAGAGAGAGAGAGGGAGAGAGAGAGAGAGAGAGAGAGAGACATCGAGGGGTTGCCTCCCGCACATGCCCTGTCAGGGGATTGAACCCAAGACCCTTGGGTGCACGGGACAATGCCCCAACCAACTGAGCCACCCAGCTGGGCGAATTCCATGACGTTTAAATGCTTTTTGTCCCTTTCACAGGGGACAGGTAAAGCTGTCTCAGTATCCAAAAATTCCAATCTCCTTCTCTTCACGGGACTGGGTGGATGCGCTTCGGTCAGCGAGTCTCCTGGGTGCTGGGACACTGGCAGATGCTCCTGAAGCACTTCCTGGGACAAAGGTCCCTGCCTCCAGGAGCTCCTGATCACTTCCGTCCTCCACAAGGACCATCTGGACTAGGTCCTAGACCTGCTGCTGCTTTGGGGCCTTGGAGATGTAATCAGTGGCTTGTCATTTCGGAAAAACTGGGCTCAGAATCCTAGCTCCCCCAGAACTGTAACCTTCTCTTGGATCAGGGCCAAAGGCAGTGAGCAGTCGTGCCTCTTGCCACCAGGCAGTGGATGCCCACGGAGCTTGGCTGTCCCATGTGGTGCACCTGTCCTCAGCACCCCCGTATCAGCACCACTGGGCTCCCGAAGATCTCAGCGAACACCACCAGGTGGGCCAAGGGGAAGGTGATGGACACATGGCTGCTGCGGGCCTTTCGGTAGCTGGACCTGCTGGCACAGGCCCTCTGGGTCGGCCAGGAGGTGCAGCCATGGATGCAGATGTGCGGCGCCTGCTTCTTAAGCTCTTCAGTAACTGCATCCAGAACCACCTTGTGGTGTGCAAACACCAGGAGCTTCTCTCTCCCACTTCCCGCAGGTACAGGGTATAGCCAGTGATACGTGGGATTTGGCTTCAGCTGTTCTGTTGAAGAGGGATGCGGGCTTCTTCCTTTAGATGGCTGTCCTTGAGATTGTCCTTGGTGGTCCTTTCCTTGGCCACAGCCTCCAGGGGCGCTCTGGCCTTGGCACTCACCTGGTCTGGGGCCACCACCGCTGTCTTGCTTGTTAGTCTGGACCTTGGAAAGGACATCAGAAGGGGGGCATCGCCGCTTGGCCACTTCTTCCAGCAGAAGCACCAGCTCTCCCAGGGCCAGGGACCTGGAATGACCTGTCCCCAGGGATGCCGCTTGGCACCACAGTAGCCAAGTCCAAGGGCAAGAGGCTGAGGGAACAATGTTGGCTGATCGTGAATCTCCATGTGCACAGCTCTGCTGTCGCACATGGTGGGTGTGCCCATAGTAAGATCAGGCACTTGGCAAACT